ACATGGACACAGGGAGGGGAGCACTACACACTGGGGTCTGTTGGGGGGAAATGGGGGAGGGACGGTGGGTGGGGAAGAGGAGAAAGATAGCATGGGGAGAAATGCCATATAGGTGAAGGGGAGGAAGGCAGCAAATCACACTGCCCTGTGTGTACCTATGCAACAATCTTGCATGGTCTTCACATGTACCCCAAAACAATAAAAAAAAAAATCTACATATGGATTAAAAAAAATGACTCCACACAGAAACAGACACACACATGCAAAAACTATTAGAACTGATAAACTCAGTAAAGTTGAAGGATACAAATATCAGGAGCAGTTCTGTTTGTTAAGAGCAAACAATCTGAAAAAAGAAATCAAAATAGTAATCCTATTTACAATAGTCACAAATAAAATAAAATACTTAGGAATTATCCAAAGCAGTGAAAGAGCTCTATAATGAAAACTCTAAAATAGTGATAACACCAAAAAAAAAAAAAAAGAAAAAAAAAAAAAAAAGTGAAAGAGCTCTATAATGAAAACTCTAAAATAGTGATAACACCAAAAAAAAAAAAAAAGGAAAGATATTTCATTTTCATGGATTGGGAGAATCAGTGTTGTTAAATGCCCATAGTACCCAAAGCAATCTAGAAATTCAACGCAATCTGCATGAAAATACCAATGGCATTCTTCACAGAAATAGAAAAAATAATCCTAAAATGTATATAAACTACAGAAGACCCAGACTAATCAAATCTGTCCTAAGCAAAAAGAACAAAACTGGGGGAATTGCATTACCTGACTTGAAATTATACTATATCAAGAGAGGGTGATAAAAAAAATTATACTACAGAGCTATAGTAAACAAAACAGCATGGGACTGGCATAAAAACAGACATATAAACCAGTGGAACAGAATAGAGAGCCCAGAAACAAATCCCCATACCTACAGTGAACTCATTTTCAATTAAGGTGCCAAGATTATATACTAAAAAAAAAGACAGCCTCTTCAATAAATGGTGCTAAGAAAAGTGGATATCCATATGCAGAAGAAAGAAACTAGACCCCTATATCTCACCATAGGCAAAAATCAAATAAAAATGGATTAAAGACTTAATTCTAAGATCTCAAACTATGAAACTACTAAAAAAAAAAAATTGAGAAAGTCTCCAGGACATTGGTCTGGGCAAAAATTATTGAGTAATACCCCACAAGCAGAGGGAACCAAAGCAAAAATGGATTAATGGGATCACATCAAGTTAAAAAGACTTTGAACAGCAATGGAAACAATCAACAAAGTGAAGAGACAACTAGCAGAATGGGAGAAAATATTTTCAAGCTGCCCATCTGACAAGGGGTTAATAACCAGAATATGTAAGGAGCTCAAACAACTCTATAGGGAAAAATCTAAGAATCCAATCGAAAAAATGGGCAAAAGATGTGCATAGACATTTCTCAAAAGAAGACATACAAACAACAAACAGGCAAATGAAAAAGTGGCCAGT